AGGTATCATCAACTTGAACCACTGCAAAAATAAATGTTTTGTTTAAATCACAACACTCCACTTTAAACATTGAAATCTTTTTTATTAAGACAAGAACTCTTGATTTTTTTTTTCCTTTGTAAAAATGTTGGTGAACCAATACAAAATATGCATGGCCTTATGGGGAACATAAACTTCACTGTAGAAATAAAACATGGCCTGGTACAGAGAAAATTGAAGATTGAACAACCAAATGTCAATTTGTCTTAAAATTAAACAATTCAGGTTTTAACAATTTCATCCAAAATATTCAAGACATGTTTCAAATAATTCATAAAATGCCATGTCACAGTAAATACACCATTGTTTCCTCAAAAAGAACAAAGAGATGCCTGGACTGTGTTGTGGTCACATAGTCTAATTGCTAATTAACATACTGTATTAGTGGACGTTGTATGCACATATTGTGAGTTTGTTGATATTGACTGTACATCATTTTGTCTGCTTAACAAATCTAGTCTGGTCTCTTTGTGAGCTAGTTCTATGCAAAATAATATCTCTACCAGTGCACCATATTGAAAACACATAGAAACATGTACAACTGAGAAGAACATGTACATCTTGGGATTATCTTTTTCCAATAGTGGTACATTATATACGTGGGCCTTATGTTTGCATTCTACCTGAGATGCAAAAAACAACCATAAACACTCATGAACCTGAGAGAGTGAACACAAATATCAACAATATCAAATAAAAACGTGATTTTTCGATCAATCTTTGAAGTCCCTCAATGGCCATTTTAGAACAATCAAGAAAAATAGCAAAACAATTCCAGTCATGCAGGCAGCTTAACCGTGACACCAAATATTCAAAACAACAGCTTCCCTTCAAAGCTTATTTTACCATTATATACTTCTCTGATCATGTCAGTCAAGTCCATAAAACTCCAAATAAATAATGTTTAAACATATAGAGACAATAATGACAAGCATATTTATCAGTATGACAATAAATATTACATCTTAGGAGAAAAACTGATCCCTTTAAGGTCCAGGACATTGATACTATGCGTCTTGTGGATTGAATGACATACTGCGTGGTATTTATAAGAATACTGTGTGGAACTACAGTCATCAGTGAGTTAGTATAGTATAGAAGTCCCATCTTTTTAAAGGTGCACTATGTAAGCTTTGTTTACTAACTGCTTGTCTCCATGCAGATGTTATTGCTTTGCCTAGAATGTTTCACAGTATGGCATTAAACGCGTCTATCTTCATGGAGACAAGCAGGTAACACCACCAGGCCATAAAGTCACAGGTCAGATCTGTGTAGAGGTGACCCTGCTCGCAATATGAACGCATACTATCTTTAGCAACAAATAAACAACTGTAATTGAATAAATGCAAGATAAATAAGGCATATTTATTGATAACTGGTCTACTGTGGAACATTCCAGGCAAAGCAATAACGTATCCATGGAGACAAGTCGGTGGTGAACCCTTTACCAGAAATGACATAGTGCACTTTTAAATGTGTACAATAGTATGTAATACTGATTAGAGATAACAATTTGAGTTTGGCAAAGGAATGAATGAGGTTGGCATCTTTTTCTTTACCTTTTGCAATGGTCACTTTTTCAGCTGAAGTAAATGGTAATACTCATAATAGTCCAGTAAACAAATCAATTGAGAAGATTATGGCTAATCCAATCCAAATATATCACATTCAGAAACATATACTATACTAATTCATTGACAGGACTGAATCCATTTGCCTCAGTCTCCAAGAAGGCACTAAACTCAGTCCTTCAGTCTTTCCTGTGACAAATACCAGGAGGTGGGTTTAAGGCAGTGGTTATCGTTCCTCGATACATTTACAGATGTCTTTTTCGTATTCAAAAACATGTTGTCAATACTCTTCCAGAAGCAGGAGGCATGCATGGAGGACACAGCATCTTCTCTTTTATGGAGGAAAGCATGGATTGGCCTATATGAAAGCAACACTATGTAACTTTGCCTTTTTCTTATGAATGAGAAAAAGAAAAATGCTTTAGTTGGAAATTAGAACGTCAGGTTTGCTTTGTTTGAATATTCTGTTGATACTTTGCAACTGATGCCATCAACGTTTCCTGGGGGTATGACGCTAACTGTAGGCATGCTCTGTCTAAGGCTTTGTTAGAATTTAATCTAAGCTTTGTGTTAACACAATCTGGCCAGAAAGAACTGACTTATCTGGAGCTAAAACAGGTGAGCTGATTTTGTGCTGTTAAACTAGTCCCTCTCAAAATCACAGTTTTTCAGTTAGTCACTCTCACCTTTTTGTTAGAAATCAAACACCCAAACAGAACCATGATCGTTTGTATTGATCACAGGCTCCCGAAAATGTGTTGTTTAATTTTATTGTGTGTGTGTGTGTGTTTTTTTTTTTTTTTTGGAGTATTCTAAAAACGTTTCACACATACAAGGAGAACACCCCCAGCGTGACGTCACTGCAAAGCATCAACTGAAAATGATAAGTTAAAGGTGCACTATGTCATGTTTAATTTGGAAGGTCCCTCACCGCCTAGAATGTTCCACAGTGTGGCATTAAACTTCATCAAACATCTATCTCCATGAAACAGATCTAACAACAAGTCAGATCTGTGGAGAGATTACCCCACTCACAGTAAGGAGGTGTTTATTCCAGGTAGTTTTAAGCAATAAAATCCTTCTAATGAAATAAATAGTAGAAAAATGTACTGTAATTGTAATGCCATACTGTGGAATATTCCAGGCAAAGCAATAATATATGCACGGGGACATGGAGATGATGTGCAACATTCTGTACATTACACTTTATAACCATTAGCATTCACAGATCAGAAAATTGGCAGTTTGACACATAGTTCTGATATATATTAAAAAAGATCTAATGTTAAGATTCAAATACCACATAGTGTTGCTTTGACATGAAGTAAGTCACAGAGAGTATATTTTCGATGGAGAAAGTTTGAGGCTGAACGATGACAAGGAGAAGAGGCTTCACACCAGGGCTATGCAAATCTTTGATAACCTGAGAGCTCTTACAAGTTATCAAAGACAGCCCGAAGGTAAAATGTCCATACACTTAGGAGATAGTGTATAACTGATTAAATTTTGTGTGTCCTTGTGCGTTCACATGAGCATGGGCAGAGCCTTACATGACAAAGATTTGTGAGCAAGGATTTACACAGTAGTTTTTTTCTAGCTCGACCTATTCAGTTGAACATACTTTGTAACAGCACTGAAAGATGACATTGAAATCAGAACTGTTGTATAATGAAATAGGAACACCTTGTGAAAAAGTGTAGTAATGAATGTCAAATGATAGGAACCTGGACTTTTTGAATAATATAACACAGTCAAGCAGTTTGGACTGAAAATATAAAACTTGAAAAACGGTCTGGTCCAAGGTTGACCATTACACGTGTGAGAAGGAATCAGAAAGTCAAAAAAACATAAAACAAAACAAAAACACTATTAAGACAAATAAAGTTTATATGCTGTCACCCTTGGAAAGACTGCAGGGCAAACTGACTAGATGTTTAAAGGTAGTATAAGCATTGTACATACTCTGTTCTGTCCCCAGACATTAATTTAAAATACCAGAAAATACCTCTATTACACAACGTAAAATTCAATAATGTGATTTTCTGTATTTGAGTTATAGGTTACGCTTTATAATAACTACACTTTTAAAAGCCTTAATAGAGCATGGCAAGGACTTTTTCATAATGAACAAATTAAAAAAAACATTAAGGCTAAAAAAACATTTAGGCTTAGTAACTACTTAATTAGTACCTTAACTCACAACCCTAACCTCTTAATTAAGTAGTTACTAGGCCCAAATCATTATTAATAGACTATTATATATTATGATTGAAGTGTTTGTTCATGCTTCATTAAGGTTAATTAAAATTCAGTTATTATAAAGTGCCAACTAAAAATTGTGAGCCATGTTGTTTGGCAATGTCAACAAGTGTCTCCCATTATTTAAATTCCCATTGCAGTAACAATAGTTGTTGAATACCACTTGTATTACCTGTAATTCAAATCGTTTTAAGTCTAGCAGTGCAGACAGATAGCAATGCAAAGGACTAAAGAAAGCAATAATTCCGCCTTGTGTTTTGGTGTGTCTGGTTCAAAGAGGAGTTTTAAGAGGGTTTCTCAGTCGACAGTACTAGATACAGAGAGCTCCACATCATGGCACATTACAGCAGTCATGATGCCTAAGACTGTACAACACCCTAAACAAGCACTAACTGACCACGCACGTACGAACTGTGTTTTCTTCTTGAAAAACCAATCACCTTCACTAAGCTGCTGTGAAATTATAAATGATACGGCACTCCTACTTCATTTCCAAGCAACAATACATTCTATAATGAGCATGGTTACTCACAAATTGTACATAGGCAGTGAGGAAGTGTGGACGGAAAAGTAAGAAATCAGAGGTGTGAGTATGTGGAGTTTGCTGGGGCCATTGACCTTTGACCTGGCCAGGAGAAATGTGTTGTGGTTCAGTTAGTGAGCTCTTGTGTGTGGTTAGCAGCACCTCGGATTCAGGAACAGTGAGCTAAAAGCTAGCTGCGGCACACATAGACGGACACCAGGCCACTGACTCTCCTCTAAAGGCAAATGCAACGGAACATGAGATACACAGGAGAATCCAATCCAACAAGCAAAATGACAGGGGGAAACACATCGAAATGAAACAAAAGAAATCGAACAAGGCACAAAATTGTCCATAAAATAACTGAACTGTACAGGCCCCAGCAGTCCAGGAGGGGTCGGATAGGAGAATCGCCTCTCACCAAAATGGCCACGCCTGTCCAAATTCATGTTCTCCAGACTTCTGCAGATTACTTTGAAAATCCTTTGTCGTTCGATCAGCCTTTTTTGTAACCAACCGGAGTAATCCATAATGCTCCTACAGCATTGTCCATCACCAGCCTCAGCAGTACGTCCCCACACCCGCTCTCCTGGCCCAGTCCTCACAGTCTAGATATAGTACTCCTTCTTCTCGTCTGTGTTGGTGTGTCCTCCCTCCGCGTTAATGATGGCTGTGTCTGCGTCAGCCGCGTCATCTGCTCCTTTGGCTTCATGTGTAAAGTAAGTTCCTATAAAAAAAAAAAAAAAAAGAATAAATATTAACCACACGTCAAAATCCTCCATCTTCCATCAACCACTCTTCAAAACCGCTGCAATCAACTCACAACAAAAACACTTGAACTCCTCAGATGTGTCCATGATCAAGTATGATTGCCAGGCTTTACCTTTGTGTCTGGCGAAGTATCGACCCAGAACGATAAGTGCGCAGAGGATGGCGAACATCACCACGGCAACCACCCCTCCGATGACAGCGTGGTCAATTTTCTGTGGTGCCCCTTCGCCGGCTCGGGAGTCTGGAAACACAACAATAACCATAAATAATGATGACACAGGCACAAAATTACACTCAGAAGTCAGTCAGAAAACTCAAGCAGTGAAGTAGCTGTCCAGGACCAGTTTAACAAGGTAATCTAAAATGATACTCTTCTGTATTAAACTATAGGCTACATTACATAACTATATATGAGTACATGGGCCCCTGCACACAACTTTTGAAAGAGGTACTTATATTATATGACCCTCTACTCCTCAAATCTTATCGTATACTAAAAATAAGCAGAAGTCCTCCACTTGTCCAAAGGAAAGGTACATGAGATAAAAAGACACATCATGTATTATTTCTCTTTCTGTTAGGGTTTCTTTATTTATTTCATTTGGGAAACTCAACCTTTTCCCCTTTTCCATGATTTACAGATTGTAGATTATCTCTGTTGATAGATCATATCAATATAGATGATACACACAAGGAGTAGGTATAGGAAAAAACTTAGAAATGCCTACCCCCTCTCACATAACAGGCAAAAAAAAAGATAGCTATTGACATTTTGACATTATTATTATTATAATATTTATGCTTTTGTCTTATGCCAAGCAGCAAAAATACACCCAATGATACATGTGTGTGTTTGTAAAAGAGTTACAGTACTTTTATTTTATGCTAGCATTAAGCTGTTCTAAGAAACAACTGCTTTAGTTTGTAACAGTATGAAATAAACTGACTGAAAGGAGTGTGTGCCTGTGGGAAACTTTGAGCTGTACACTATATATTGCACATAGATAAGCACATAGTGTTAAATTAATTTACCTGTGCTTATTACTGAAAAAGAGTATCTATAATTACACATAAGATTCAATGGTAAATATAATAAAACTAAACTCATGCAGTTGCCATAGTTGCGTTCCTTTGTACAACCATGCAGTTCATTGTGCACATTTTGTACAATTAAACTCTTGCCCCTAGTTTCCCCATAGCCGCCCATGAGCCCAAAACAAACAGGAGGACCACAATAAATTACAAGTGTGACTTTAAGTGTGACTGGCTTGTTTTCTCTTAAGCACAAAAACAGAACAATATTACATTTTACACAGATTGTATTGTTTACAAGCAAAAGATTTAAGAGCGCAATGTTCAGCTGAAAACCGGCTTCCAATTTAAAACATCTATTCCCATAAAAGGCCACAAAACATAATAAAAAACATAATAAAATGTAATACTTCACGCTCTGTCATGTATTGTCTTGTGCTGGTTTAGGTGCAATGGCATCAGATAAAAGGAAAAGAGCGGCTTTAAATGTGAAATCAGGGCTCTTGTATGACACTAAAAACCAAAAATAATAACCAAAAAATATAAAACATTATCTCTAGAAAGCATGTTCAAATTACTTCATATAAGAATAGACTATTTTCTAGACTAAAACTAAAACTTGACTATGACGACATTGTTAATAGTCTTAATAAAGCTAATGAACAATTCATAATCAAATATTCAGTCTGGATGATAGCAGTACAGAGACTGAAAATAGCATTTATTTTCTTTATACAAAAATAACATAAACCGAAACTGATCCAAATGTGTTATGTATCTGTTATTTATCTCTCAAGTATCTACCGAACAACTTACAACTGCATAAATAAAAGTTCAAACATTCTGAGACCTTCTGGGCCAAATACAGCCAGTAAACAGTCTTAGTATATTAGTTTATATGTCCAATCATGATATCAAATGAAATTATATTTGAAAGCTGATATCTGATCCAGCACATTTTTCAGTTTGTTTATGCTTTATTATGGTCTTTAAGCCTTTACAGTGTTATACGATGGCAGGGGTGTCAAACTCAAATGGGCCAAAATTAAAAACTGGGACTGGAAAGTCGTGGGCTAAACTAAATAATTATTTAAAATTTCAATAACATCTATAAATAAATGTTTAATAATAGTTCTGATTAAACACTGAATCCAGAACAAGCATAAAATAAAATAATAAAAACATTTTAAATAATGTCTCTATAGCCTATCTGTAGCCAGCAAGCCAGCTCTAATACATATTTGATATGATCTTGAGGGCCACATCTAATTATATCGTGGGCCAAATTTGGCTCCCGGGCCTGAGTTTGACATGTCTGTACTATGGGAACAGAGTCAACTCACAACGTCTAATAGTAAATGTAATAAAATGTAATTCTGGAAAGTACATTGGCATTGAATAAAAGTAGTGCTGTAGTAGACTTAATTCCAAATGGTACAGTGTATTTTCAGAGTACATTTCACCCAATTGAGCGCCACTCTTTCACCAAACTTCTCAGTCCTATACGGCCTTAAATGGCAGTTAGAGTCCCTTGAGTGAGCAATGCTGAAAAATGTTTTAAGACAGTTATTTCACCATGAAACGCTCGACACGGCTCCTATTCCTCGCACAAGTTCAGCCACTGTAAAATACATTGTGATTTAAGAGGCCATTTGTGGAAGTCACCGAGCTCCATCATCAGAAATAGACACAGGACTTGAGATAAATTGGCGCCCGCTGTCCCCATTGAAAGAAATACGCGGTCGCCTCAGGTGTCACTAGAGTAGCTACGACTTGCATTTAGCCAGATTTATTCGCACTCAGCCCAAGAACAAGGCAAAATCCGAGGCCCTTTAAATTTCCAGCCTTAGAATAGAACCCGGGCTTCTATCAATAGTCTATATGTGTGCACATTTAGAGTGAGGGGTGGATTGGCTGCGCTGTTCGTTGCTGCATGAGAGAGCACCTCAATTTTCCATCAATCTCGCTAGTCATGCTCTGAACTCTGAATGATTCTGATAAAGAAATTCTCAACAGAGCCAGGGCACAATGAGTCAAGTCTAAGGCACCCTAACCGACACAGATGGCACAGTCGCATCATGTCCTCCAAAACCCAAACCTTTTGAAGTTTACTTTTTTTTAAAACACAAGGACAGGAAAAAAGAAGAAGAAAATCTAATTAATGAGAAAAGTTGTGCTTCAGATGAGCGCCGTCGGAAGAATGGAGTCATCTTCACAGAGGCAGCATCTGTGGAGCGAGGAAGTGCGCTTTGTTTACTGTATCGCCGATGTCAGATAGCGCGGTGTGTGCCCTGAAGAGCGGAGAAGCCACGGTCCATGCTAATGAACTGGCACCCACTTAATAGCCCTCTCCTTCCTCCCCCTGGTCTCACCTTAACCCCCCCCCCGCAGTCTCCTGTTTGACACATCCGCAAGGAAGCACATGGGGTATCTCCTGTCTCTGAGCACACAGGGGGTATTTAAGGCATGACCCTATAGGTGACGTTTATAACAGATAATATAAGTGCATAGACGGATCAATATGCAAGGCAGGTTTTGCATGATTCATACAGCAAATTACACTTTTACATTTACATGCATATAATAAAAAACATGGATTTGGATTGAACCAGGAAAAAAAGATATGTAGTTGTACTGAATTAGAGCTGACAAGATATTCACTAGAATAAAAAATCCAGTCGATAGCTTTGCAAAATACAGTTGCCATGTTTTTAGCAGGTTAGCAACCATATCTATAATTCTCTTTGTAAAGTCACTCAAAATCAGTGATGAAAGAATATTTCTATTTTTAATTTTGATACCGTGCAACCTGAAGCCTCAAATTACATGATCAAGTACCTCAATGAATTCCTTTGATTTTAGGAAAGTGAGTAAGTAGTTAAGATGTAACATAATAATACTGTAAATGTAAGGATGTAAAATTAAATGTGAACACGAACACTATTGAGTTAAGACCTCCAGATTTCTTACAATAAAAAAGCTAGAAACAACTGTGTCAGCGGTGTAGTCTCCAATATGACGGAAATAAGAATTTTAGCATGTTTTGTGAATTTAAATATCCAGTTTATTAGAGAGTCTCACCCTTAACAGGTATAAGGACTTGCCTGGAGTAAGCACCGGGGCTCTCTCACAAAAACGTCTGATAGGGAACTTCAAATCCCCCAAAGAGCCAGAGTATCAACTGTTATGGCCCAGTGCATATCGCTGTTCTTCTATTATGTACAGCACTGATTTTCACTCGTAAACTCCTCCACTTATTAGAAAGGAGAACGGCACCGACATATCCACACTGCATACAATGAGAAATATCAATGCAATAAGTACAGCTGTTATTAAACTTTCTGTCTCCTCTCTGTGACTATAGACTCATATATATAAATAAAGCAGGATTTTATTGCTTTAGAGTTGTACCAGTGTTGATATTTCTGAAAAGGGGTGCAAGCTTCAATCTGCAATCAACTACTTTGTCTCATAACCAGTTTTTTCTAAAGTACTAGCTAGCCTATATGAATTTTGGCTCATTCTAGGGATTCATTTCAGCTTTGGCCAGGAGCAACAAAAGTTCACTGACAAATAGCCACTCACCTACATCGGCTCTGCAAGCACACAAGTTCGATTCACAAATGTATTTCCTCAGAATATTGGATAGTCTAAGGAAGCCAGGATATTTGAACAGAACTCACAGTAACATGGGGAGAACATGCAGACTTTATTCAAAAAATGTATTAGACCAGCCCATGGTGCAAGCCCATTCTAAAAACACGTCTTCTGTTCTGTAGTCCACACAGTTCCTGGATGCAATACACAGCACAGGGGGAAGTCTACTTATTTTCCAGTAAAGATCATTGTATTACATGGGTATCTTTCAGCTCAGTAAACAACAATAATACAACCCAAAATTCAATGCGTACAAATATCCCTATGACAACCAGTCCTGTTACACGTCCTTCTGTGGTCCTAGAAATAAGCCGTGTTTGATTATGTCTGTAATGTGGCGTGTGTCCATCGGGGCGGCGGCAGAGAGGACAGCGCTGACATGTCTCGACAGGATGTGCACAGCCGCGGGGATTTACGGGGGAATAAAAGAGGATTTGCAACTGATGCCTGTGTCGCCGCGCCAACCTGCTCCACTGAACCTGCTCCTACATGCTTTACTGGTACACCTTCCCATCACTTCTCCAACATGACTAATTGCCACAGCGGTCATTG